TCTACCTGTTGCTTCACCTGCTGCTACAGGTAAAGCAACAGGTAGAGCAGCGCCTTGCGTCGACGCTCGGCCGGATCCGCACGTGGAAATTAAACGCCGTCTTTTATGGAGCTGTTGTCGGACGCAGAGCAGGAATTTGTTGAACTGTCACCGGTTCCAGCTCTGAGCTACACGGAAAGGAAAAAAAGTGTTTTGATCCCTGCGAGCGTCTGACTTCCAGCCAACTCGCCGTGAACTGGCAGCTTTCTGCGTCGTCCTTATTCCCTTTCATGGCTCCTCCGCGGGGAGCAGCTTGTGTGGAAACTGGCAGCCAAGGCTTATCTTGGCAAGAATGTGAGATTGGCACCTGTTTTTTTTTCTCTGTTTGGGAACAAGTACAAACACTTATCAGTAGTACAGTGAGTACAGAAGGACGATAAATTGTCTCCAGGATCAAAGAGGGAGTTTTCGATGTTTGTTCTCCTGTGTTGACGGCTGTGAGAATCATTAATTCTGCTGTTTTTCTCTGCAGGTGATCTTCCTTCATGGTTTAGGAGACTCAGGGTAAGTTTATCAAATGTCTTTATCAGCTTATCTTTCAGTTTTCTGTCACTTATTGCCTTTTATTTCAGTGCATTCGTGAGTTATGTCAGTAAAGAGATGCTCTAATACTGTTCTAATAATTTGAGGTTATTTCTATTGTATTCAGACCTATTTACATCTGGTTGTTGCAGTAATAGCATGAATTCTTTATACGGTTTAATTTCATTCAATACATGCTGAGTAACTGACAGCTGTAAAAACAAAAACAAAAAAAATCATTAAATTTGTTAATCTTTTTTTTTTTTGTAGATTATTTTAGTCTAAAAATATTTGAAAATAGAAAAAAGGGTCCTTCTGAAACCACAAATGAAGAAAAAGCTGAAGAAGAAAATAAATCAAAAATGTTGCAAACATTCCAAAATAAAATAAAGTTTGCAAATTTTATTTCATCATCAGTAAAAGAGAAGCAGGTATAGGTCATGGTTTAGGTTGCTATTAATGGAAATACAGTCCGATTATTAATTAAAATTAAATGTAACATTGAGAAACCGAAAGAGCAAAAAAAACCAAAAACCTTTGAATTTCACTGAAGCCCAAAGTGATTCACAACCATGACACAATATGATATATAGTGAATGTTTACTGGATGAATAAGTTTCTTCTGGCTGCAAACAACATGAACGAGTGACAAAATATGGTACGCTGCTGTGTTAGAGAAGTTAATAATAGATTTTAACTACATTTATTTACAATATTCCTGAAAATGCTGTGTGCTAATTTATTCCTTACACTAGAAATTGTCACAGTTTTTATAAAATGCAGCTTCTGTGCCGTTCCAGTTGCTCCAGATCATTTCTCCTTTCTTCTAAGGTTTTTTAAAAATATGTTAATATGAATATTTTTACCCTTGTCTTAATGGTTTTACCCTTGTTTTGCTTTTATTTCTCAGTCTGATATGGCATTTTGATGCTTTTATTATTTTATTTGTATTGATTTATTTTGTAAATCTTGTCCTTTCGTGTTTGGCCTTGGCTGGAGGACTTTCTGTATTCATATTTTCTTCCAGAGAATCCTCCTTTAAATAATTAAAGTGATGATTGTTTTATTTATAAAACAGAATCTGGCTGAATAATTTTAGGCTTGATTGTTCAAATTTTAGAGCAGATCGTAAAGCAAAAAGAGAAAATCTGGCAAAATCACATTTTTTTACACTTGAAAATCCTAAAATAGGTGAATAGTGTCGTAGCAGAGGGTTGTTTTAAATCCCGTCGGGTTGCGTTTTCAATGGACTTTTTTTATATTACATAGACATTCATTCATCTTAAGATGCGTTCAGTGACTGTTGTAAATTTGCTAATTGATGCTTGTGTTCATGTCACTTTTAATTTCACAAAACACAGCACTTTAAATGAGTCATTGAAAAACTGAGATCATGATGACAGCTGCTCCTCGGTACAGTTTTAGATCAGAATTATCCCCTCGGGCCGGTGTTTTCCCCTCGAGTGCCTCCTTGTACATCAAGAGCAAACATTTCATCGTGCGTTGCTTCGTTGTCAAAGTGGTTTTAATGCACCCGGCTGTAACAGGTTCGGTTTGGATGCTGCCTACTGGTGATTTTGCTGTAGCTGGATTAGAAACAAAGAGCTGCTCTCTGTGTTTTCTGTCAGGCACGGGTGGGCAGACACTCTGACGGGGATCCAGCTGCCTTACGTCAAGTTCATCTGCCCCCACGCGTGAGTCCTCCTTTTATTTTCTGCTTTCTAAGACTGTCAGCGGCTTTCACTTGGTTTCTGTTAAGCTGCTTCACGTCGCATCCGTTTATCACCTGGCCTGTCATGTTTCCCCCGCAGGCCTCCGATCCCCGTCACTCTCAACATGAAGTCCATGATGCCCGCGTGGTGAGTTGGCGTGATGAAAGGGGCGTCCTCTCAGCCCAACACTGGCTGCCATTGTTTCCCTGGAAACCACAAAAGCCTCCCATATTGCCAGTGACAATGCTGCGATTGTATCTATTGATTTTGTTTGCGTGTGCGCAGGTTCGACCTCATGGGTCTCAGCCCCGACTCCCCAGAGGACGAGTCTGGCATCAAGAAGGCTGCAGAAAACAGTGAGTTTAATGTGAACATCAGAGTAACTTTCTTGAGCTACTGCAGCTGTCAAACATGGTGAGGACACAGACGGGACAGTTTCCAGCAGATCCAAACAGTCAAACAGCTCCAGCAGAGGCCAAGTTTTACATTGTTGTGCCTTAAAAATGACACAAAAAGTGCATATTTTTAAAATGATAATAATATTGGTGCCCCAGAAGGTTCTTTTAAGTGTATGTATATGGATGTAACCATATTCCGTCCATCCATCATCTATACACCGCTTAATCCTCACTCGGGTTGTGGGGGGCTGGAGCCTATCCCAGCTGACTCAGGGTGAAGGCAGGTTCACCTGGACAGGTCACCAGTCTATCACAGGGCTACACTTAGAGACAGACAACCAAGCACACTCACATTCACACCTACGGACAATTTAGAATCACCAATTTGAGGTTAGTTGGACTGTGTGGGAGGAAGCCGGAGAACCCGGAGAGAACCCACGCTGCACGGGGAGAACATGGAGACTCCATGCAGAAAGATCCCGGGTGTCCTCACTGGGACGCGAACCGGCGACCTTCTTGCTGCAAGGCAACGATGCTAACCACTGAGCCACGTTGCAGCCCCTGTAACCATATTTCCTACTAAAAATACAGTCTTTGGTCAACATTTTAGCAACTTTTGAGGCCTCTGACTTCAATAGAAGTGAATGTGTGGCGAACCAAGGCAAAGTTTTTGCAGACAAAATGGTGACGTTGACACAAAAACTGTTGTACGTTTTTTTCTCACTGGGGAAATGTATATGTTCCAGCAGCTGGATACAAATGAAACATGAAAGAAGCACGACTAGAAACACAAACGTATAGTCAGGCTAAAAAGAAAGATGTAAGATATAATGAAGACGATGTAATGTTGTTAAATACTGAAGAAGGAGCAAATGCTGGTTCGTAGTGACTGAGATGCATTCATACAGTCTGGTTGTAGTTCCTCTTTTTGAGTTCCGTAAATGCTTTTTTTCCAAACAGTGCCTGTAACACGGCTGGTTAAGAAAGTAAACAATACAGCAGCCTACCAGGAAAAGTCATTGATCGCTATCTTCATCTTCCTCCTGCACTAAAACCACTAAACTCGTCTTGTGTCGGAGCTGAACAGCCTCAGAATCACTTCGTCACTTCCTCAGTCTCTCTGTCGTTGTCGCTCTCTATGTCACTTTCGTCTTGAGGTGAATTCATAAAAATCATAAAAATCCATAAATTAGCCGCATCATTGTTTAAGTCGTTCAAAGCGTGTGAAAAAAGTAGCAGCTCGTAGTCCGGAAATTACGGTAATGTTTCCTAAAAATATAAGCAGTTCACACCCTGGTTGAGCATTTCCTTCCCTAAAACTGCAATGACAGTCGCAGCAACACAGATTCAGACTCCAGGATTAAAATATGTCATTGTCTAGTGTGGAGTAGTTTCACAGTGTTTGAGCAGAGTTGTAGGTGAGCTGGTGTGTCTGAGCTGCAGCGAGTGGCGATAAGTCAGTGGAGACAGAGACTTCATAGATCTGCACATTCGAGAGAAACCAATAGTGTAGAGTTACATATGAGATGTTTTAAGGTGGAAAAGAGATTGTTGTCATGGAAAAACTTCTAAATATGTAACTTCAGTGCACAGAGATGAGTTTGTGTTTAAACAGAGATCAGAGAAGAACTTTAAAATGCAGAAATTGCACGAGGCTGTGAGTGAGCCGAGGACCAGCCGTAGTGTGTTCACCTCTTCACGATTTTCACAGCCGACTTTGAAAAAACATTCAGAAAAAATGCTGAAAATGTCTTTAAACTGCCAACACTGTCTGAAACACTCGTGCCGCCGTTCCTCCATCTGAACGTTTTGGTGAATTTCCCAAACCTCCGGTGCGACATTCACACCTGCTTCACGCTGTGGTTGGACGGTGTGTGGAGGTGAAAAAAATATGCAGAATTTAAACTTCTCTATCAAGATTTTTTTTTTCTATGTTTCAGTCTTCACACTCCTGTTTATCTCACTGCACACCGAGTCCAGCCCTGTGAATCCAGAAATGTGTGCAGTTGTCAGTTCTGAGCATCTACAAACACGTTTCCTTTGAGCTTTAATACTTCATATGGACTCATATCTTCTCAGACGTTTCCAGGCCTTTAGTTTTCTACCTTGTAACAGAACTGAAGAGCTGAGGCTCCTCCTGGTGGTCAGGTGTTTTATAAATACAATATAGCTGCACTGAAAACAGCTCGTTTAGTCTGATAGAGGGCTGCAAGGTGGCTCGTTGGTTCGCGCTGTCACAGCTAGAAGATCCCCGGTTCGCATCCCGGTGAGGACACCTGGGATCTTTCTGTGTGGAGTCTCCATGTTCTCCCCGTGCAGCGTGGGTTCTCTCCGGGTTCTCCGGCTTCCTCCCACACAGTCCAGAAACATGTTGAGGTTAATTGGTGATTCTAAATTGTCCGTAGGTGTGAATGTGAGTGTGCTTGGTTGTCTGTCTCTAAGTGTAGCCCTGTGATAGACTGGTTACCTGTCCAGGTGAACCTGCCTTCACCCTGAGTCAGCTGGGATAGACTCCAGCCCCCCATGACCCTAGTGAGGATTAAGTGGTATATAGATACTGGATGGATGGATAGTCTGACAGAAATTTCCCACATTAGACATTTTGGCACCAAGCTGCTTGCTCTCATAAATCGCTGCCTACTGTGTGTTGTGTCTTCACTGAATCATGTTTCGTTTTTTCTGTCCTCCAGTCAAGGCCATAATCGAACACGAGGCCAAAAACGGGATCCCCCCAAACCGTATAATGATCGGTGGCTTCTCTCAGGTGGGAATTAACCTCCTGGCATCATGTTAAATTCTATAAGAGGCATATCTGCATCATAAAAACATATTCTGGTGGCTTGTGTGTGTGATAAAGTTGGTGTGCTTCCCCCTCAGGGCGGGGCCTTGTCCTTGTACACCGCCTTGACCTGCCAGCATCAGCTGGCTGGCGTCGTGGCCCTCAGCTGCTGGCTTCCACTTCACAGGAGTTTCCCATCGGTACAGTCACAGTTTTTTTTACAGCCTGCTTCGGCTTCCGTTTTACTGTTGCCACTATTTTTGGTGTCTGAGTCGTGTCTTGTCCTGCAGGCGTCAAACGGCTTCAAGAACGTCCCGATCCTGCAGTGCCACGGTGAAAGTGACGCCATGATCCCGGTGCAGTTCGGTGCCATGACGGCAGAAAAGCTCAAAACCATAGTCGACCCTCACATGATCACCTTCAAAACCTACCCACATCTCTCGCACTCCTCCTGTCCTCAGGTACTGTTACCTACGAGCTGCAACATTTATGTTTTTGCTTCTTTTTGCTTTATTTTAAGGGAATATCTTCGTTACATCCACCCACAAAAACATAAAAATACTGAAGGTTATTCCATCTTAAATTGTCAGGAGCGTCTGTTTAAACATCTCTGATTTGCTTGAAACTTTTTTTATCATAAACTATGCATATTTAAAGTATTATCTTTTGAATTTTCTTTTAAATCAGCACTTTTTCGAACATTGACATTTGAGGCTGTTTGAATGACAAAACCTCAGAAAGTACAAAAAGATAAAAGCCTGAGTTTTTCTGTTATTTCTCATCATATCATTGATTCAAAATCTGCAATACTGGACAAGTAGATCAACTATGAAAAATGTGTGTAGCCATCATTAAACGCCCCGTCTTTGAGCTCATAATAACAGAAAAGTGATCATGCAGAAGTCAACTCGTGATGTTTTCTGACCCACATGTAGCCGCAGGTCACAATAATACAAAACATTAGGAATCATTTTTAATATGATGCACTTGGTCACAAAAATGAAAAGAAAGTTATTTTTTTTTAAGTTTCATAAGTGATTGAGCAGGTTTGACAAGTTGTAGCACAAAAACAAACATATTAGTGGACAGTGTGATGCAAATAGAACAGAAGCTTCGCAGTCGCTGCTTCTAATCTCCGGAACAGACTTTAGAAACTTAAATCGCTGCGTCAGACCTCCTCTTTTCATTGGCATTTGATTCAAGTGGAGCCTGATTCTTATTATCTTACACATTTTTTAGAGTCATGTAGCTGATGGATTTACAGCACTTTGGTTTATCTCCTGTTGCTTTTAAATTTGCTTTATGGATACATTTGAAAGCATTTTTTTGTACATTAACTGCATCACTTCTTACGGCTCAGCAGGTTTGCAGTTAAAACCTCAGCTGAGATTCTGTATCCTTCAGAGAGAATCGACTTTGTGAAAGAGAGATGCTTCGTACAGCTGATTTAAATCCTAAACTCCAAACAGAACCTCGTCTAGAGCAGGCTACCATAATTAACGTACCACCTTAATGACACTAAAAGCTCAGATTTTAGATTCTTTATACAGTCGTCCTCAAATGTATTCATATCCTTCCATTAAAGAAAAGGCAAAATTCACAATCGTCACTCAAATAGCTAGAAACTGAAAAAAGTAATAATAAATAAAAATTTCTTTAATTATAATTTCATGAAATAAGACATTGCTTTTGAATTGTGGGTGAAAAGAATAATTTAAAAAAAAAAACTCTCCCAGACCAATGAGAGGCCTTTGCTGATGAGCAGTGGTCCAGAATACCTGTCAACAGGTGCAGAAGTCTGACTGAGAGTTACAGGAAACACCTGATGATGGCAGTGATTGGCTCAAAGGGTTGTTCAACTAAATATTAGTTCACAGGTCCCATCAGGCTAGTTTGCTTGTTTTTTGTATGTTTGATTTTAATATTTCTGTTGAACCACAATTCAAAAGCAACGTCATGATTTTCATTACATTTTTATTTGTTGTTACTTTTGTCAGTTTCAGCTTATTTCAGTGATTGAAGCTGTTGTTTTCCTTCTTTAATGGGAGGGTATGAAGACATCTGAGGACGACTGTACCTTCTAACACATCCATTTTGCTTTGCTCCTGATGTCGGTGTCGGTGTGGAGCCGTTGTTTCAGGTGCTTCTGATCCCACTGACCTCTCGTCTCCTCTCTTGCAGGAGATGGCGACTGTAAGGGAATTTATCGAGAAGTATTTGCCCCGAATCTGACCTCACCTCATCCCCACTGTGACCCCCTGAGACACTGACCTCTCACCCCGATCTGCCATTCTCCCACAGGAAACAGCCATGAGCAGCACCCCCCCCTCTTCCACAGACATCCACCAGACAACCAACACACACATGTTCACATTTAATCAGAGCGATTGGAGCCCACACTGCTAAACAGAACCTCCTCATGCAGCCCAGTCTGACAGCGCTCACCCTGACTGGTCAAACACACTGATTTGATATTAACATTACCAAGTGCTCGCTCTCACAAGTCTTAGCCTTCGGAGGGAGAAACACTGACTCACACAACACATTCCCTTTGGTTTTATTTAAACAACCTGTCTGTTGCCTCCAGTTTTTAATTTTTTTTTTTTAACTTTTACCTCATTTTGCTTCCTTTTTTTTCATTCATTGCTTCACTGCCACAACTTTTCCCTTTTGCATTGCCGTGCCAGTTTGTTCATTCAAACGGAGTCAGATGAGCAGGTTAACGCCCACCTGCTGCTCTCTGTGGTCATACTGACTGTTAGAAGCGCAGTCAGACCGGAGTTCACGTCCTGCCTCCCTGAGGTCCAACCAGTTGGAGAGAAAAGGCGTGATTGGCCTCTCGTTTAGTCTTGCTTTAAAGCTGCAGCAGAGAAAGATGTAAAATTAAAGTGGCAACAGACAACTTTTCAACTCCCCCTCGAGCATTTCCAAGTGGCATTACTGGTGGTCGCGCTCCCGCAAAGACCCAAGGGATTCCAGTTTTCTGTTGCACTAATAGAAGCAGATAAACCACCCAGTGGAATTGATAAGTAGGCATTAGTAAAGACAGAAAATCTTTTAGTTGTAGGGGAAAATTCTTCACATTATCAGCAGATGAACTAAACAGTGCACTCTACATGCTAGCCTTATTAGCATAAATGAATCACAAACTAAAACTCTAGTATGTGCAGCGGATTAAATAATATAAATCTGGTTATTTTATACTGAAATGATAACAGACTCAAAGCAGACCAGCGTGCACATTAAACATGTTTAATGATTTCTGACAGACGAGAAAAATTAGCTCTCTGTCTGTCGAGCTGTGATATAAAAACTGCTGTTTGCAAAGATTACTCTCAACTTTTTGGACCCCAAAATGCAGCCACACTGACAGTTTCTTTGACATGGCTCCGGTTAAACGCTCAGTCAACATCAAACAAGTTCGACCCCACAGCTTCCACCACTTTGGGTGAATTTAAAGTTGTGAAACCGTGTGGCTGTTCAAAGGTAGCCTGTTGCTCCTAAAATATTGGATTATTTCTGGAATGCTGTTGATGTGGAGCTTTTCTCTTTATGAAAATAAAACCAATGAGAATTTGGAGAATCACCTAAACCAGTTCACCTGAACCACACATAACAATAGTCATCTGTCTCCACGTTTGTGACAGAAATCTATGCATTTTCTTGTTATTTCTCAGCATTTGAGAAGCAAAAATATATTTTGTGCCTGAGTAAACGAAACCCCAGCTAACAATACTGGCTAAAAATGAATTTCTATCTGTCCTTATCATTTTGGTGCTGGTGATTTTTCCATTTGCACTAAAGGCTAAACCCTCTTTGGGAGGCACCAAAAATTCCTCTATGCACAAGAAAAACTACAATCGGTTGTCATTATTCTATAGTTTTGATATTGTGAAGCCAACATTTACTTTATAAAAAATAAACTTGTTTGTTGCCATTTTAAGCCGTAAAAAGTTTGATAAAACACCATAAACTCTTGTGGACATGTCAGCTCCCACAGTTTGTGTTTGCGGCCTCTTCCTGCTTGTCGCTGCACCACGCCAGCAGCTGTTCGGTCTGACTGCAGCTTCAGTGTCTGAGCCCCACAGATTGTGACTCAGGTGTAGTAAGAACAGCCCCTTTCACATCCACCCGCCACCCCATGGCAGGACACTGCAGCCTGTCCGGGTCTCGCTTCGCTAGCAATTACAAGATGCTTTTCCCGAAACCTCCACAAGAGCCCTCGTGCTTCTTCTTTTTTTAACAAGTGTAATAAAGTGTCCTGAATTATATGAACAAACTCCAACTGAAATAAAACTAATCAATCGATGCTTTTGCCACCCTGTGCCGTTTCTTTCGCAACTTTCACACCTGCATGTCAGTGACGTCTCTCTGCTTTACTCTGTATGTGAAAGTACCTCAGTTTATGTCTTACGTTGTTTTAAAATAACAAGATTGTAGGCTTTAAAGGCGAATGGCTGCATGAAATCCAGATGGTTGCAGACCCGCACAGACTGCACACCACGAGTCGTTTCACTGTACCTTCTTTCCACCGACACATTTCACCCTTTCCCGGTGTTGCCGTTTCCTCGACTTGTCACCCCACAGAGACTGGATCCCAACGGTCTTGTTTGCTTTAAACTCTGGAAACAAACCTGCTTCTTCCATATCTTCTTCCGTGACACCAAAGCAGTCCCGAGTTTAAAGCTGTCACAAATATATTAACGTCTCATCTCCCTCCTTTGGCTACCTGCTGTAACCCACTAATAGAACATAAAAGGTCAGATTTCAAGTTAATCCCAACACTGTTATAGTTCACTTCTTTGAAAAATAAAAAATAAAGTGGCGATACAAAGAGAGAGAGAGCTTTGGCAAGAAGCTGTTCCAATGTTCAAATTTTAAAGGTAATCTTGAACAACTTGTGATCCTTGGACATACGAGTGTAACTCTGAGGAGTCGTGTGCTTAAACATATATATATCAGGTGTTCTACATTTTCCTTTGTGATTGTTAATTTTGCTCTCCTCATGACTTCCTGTTCTCTGATTTTAAAACAAAAAAAAAAAAAGGAGGAAAGACATCTGTTTTGATTGTTGTTCACAAATCAATGAATGTCTCTCTCATCTCCTCGAGCCCTTTTACTCTGAATCTGACACAGCCCTGCCTTTATTTAGTTTAGTTTTATCCCCTCTTTGACATCTTTTTTTTAATTATTATTATTATTGTTATTGTTATTATAATTCCAGCGTCTCTCCCGGTCTCGTGCGTTTATGTTGTGATTGGTTAAACTTTTTACATGTTTTTTTTTTGTTGATGTTTTGTTGTGTTTTGTCACTGTTGTCATCTCATCCTGTTTTTTTTTGTGTGTGTGTCTGTTTATAATGATGAGCATTAAGAAAACGTGTCGAGGTGAGACTGTTGGTCTCTCCACTTGTTTTGTTTCCAAAACACCTGTATGCGGAATAAATGACAAAAAAAAATCCATCTGAGTTGAGCTTCTTTCATTTTCTACATCTGTATACAGAGAAACAGCCCTTTGAATTCCAAGGTTTTTCTTTGTTTTTACTATTTTGTACATTTTAGAACAACACTGAAGACAGTTGTCAAGGCAAACACTGCCTCTTATGACAGGAATCTAACAGATAATATAATTTGTTGTTTGAATAATTACAAAAGTTGTGTGATTTGATGATTGCAGTTTTGTTTTACACTGTAGAAAATCGACAAACCGTTAAAGTAGTCACACCTTAAGGCTTCATGATACAATTTACCACTAAGCCTACACTTTAAATTCCACATTATATATAAACATGTTCAGATTTTTTTGACACCAGTAGAAGTTTATACAATTATCCAAAGTTCTCATATGTGGTGGGATTTTTTATTTTTTTTCCAGTCTGAAGTTATTTGTGGATTTGTAACTCAAGTCACTAATGGAGTCATTATTCTCCTACCTTTTTGAAAATATAAATTTAGTTTTGCATACCTGATTAATATACTGGTCTGCAATCAATTTGCATGCATTAATAAAAATAAATACAACTCATACCAAAGGTTGGTGAATAGGGGTCCTCCTTTATTAAATATGTTCTTCCTCAAACAAGAGAACAATTTAGCGCCTTACGATAATGAGAGGAACTTTGTCCAGTTGTTTTAATGTCTAACTGTATCAGTAGATCTCATGCGGAAGCAAATGGTTTAAACTTTTAGAGACAAATCTGGACAAAACTCAACACATTCACTGGGCTGTCTTAATTCTACAGCCCAGTATACTGGAGACAAGTCATTTATACTTCAGTAAAATCTAATGTAATGCTCATTAAAAAATGATGTTCAGTATATTGCTTCATGTTAATATGTAGTAGTCATGTTATAAACAAATGCTGCTCCATGTACAGTTGTTCAAATATACAAGACTGGAACCCCCGAGATCAATATAAAATTATTAAAATATGCCTTAATAAAATTGCTACTAATGCTGGATATCAATTAGTATAGTTTTTTTTTAATGCTAGTATTGGATATTTGCATTCGTAATTTTTGTACACTAGAACTTTTCAAGGACTAATTATGACAGATGAGAGCAGACATGATCTATATAGGGTAACCTTGGATGATACTGACCTGAATAATCATTGAATAGTATTGAAATGATGTTACTGGTGGGAGACAAATCAATAAAAATGGTTTTGAGGTAAGATTAGGAAATAATATTACTTGCTAGATATTTAAATCTATTTTACTTCATAATTTAGATGTCTGCAGTTTTGTTCTACACTGTAGAAAATTCTAAATATAAAGGCAAACCCCTGTATTAGTAGGAATTTAAGGCTTATTTCTGAAATATACCTTTAGGCAAACACTCAAAGTTCCCAAAGTTTACTGAAAATCTATAAATCAGATTTATCAGAAGTGTATCCGATGATCCAGAGTACTCACGCATTAATCATTTTTAGTGTTGTCTGTCTCAACAAACAAAGAAGAACACTGGATCACAAGTGTACTGACCTGTTTTTAAAAATATAAATGTAACTCTGCAGGCCTGATTAATACTCTGCAATTAATTTTCATGTGTTAATGATGATCAAAATTCATACAAGCAATATCAACAATGATACCAAGGAAATGATCAATTTTGCTATAACACAATATGGTAATGTCAGGCAAGTTATTTGACCACTTTATCATTTATCTGTCTGCTATCCAGACATATACACAGACTTCTTCTTTAGACTAGGTTGACCCCGCCTCCTCTGGGGCAGCGGACGAATCAGCGGCGCGGACTCCGCTTCATCCGGCGCGGCGGGCCAATCAGCGGCGCCGGATGGAGCAGGGCGTGCTTTTCTCTGCCGGAGAAAGAAAGACGTTTCGGGTGCTTAGCCGTTGGTCGCCATTTTAAGAAGTTACAAAAACCGGTGGTAGGTAGGTGTTACGCAGCAAGCCTTTACGGTTTTTGGTATTTTAAAAACAGTTTTCACCAATATAAGGATCAATGTCTCGATTCAACTATCATCGCGGCGGTCTTGGGATGAACAATTTCCAGCCACGCAGAGGCGGCGGACCCGGCGGCCCCATGCGGGGTGGGCTAATGGGAAACCCAAATTTCAGGAACCATCCTTTCCAGAATCAGAACCAAAATCGGAGGGGATCCAACAACAACTTCAACAAACCGCAAAACCAGGGACAACAGACGACTCCCCAGAAGCCCCAACAGAACCAGTCAATGCCGATCATCCCTCCGCCGAGTCCCGGCCCGGCTCTCACGATGAAAGGCCCGATGCAGCAACAACAGCAACAGAAACCGGCCCCGCAACAGCAGGAGCAGCAGAAGCCGACCACCCCTGCGCCTCAGACCAAGATACAGTCACCGCCGGCTAAACCGAACATAACCTCCCCTCAGCCCAACCAGGCCAACAAGAACCAGAACCAGCAGCTCAAGTCACCGGTAGGAAATGCTAACGGGCAGCAGCAGAAGCAGCAGCCTCCGCACCCAAGCCCCAAAACAGGACCACAGCAAGGCCAGAAGGGAGGACCGCAGCAAGGCCCAAAGTCTGGGCCACACCAAGGCCCGAAGGGAGGTCCTCAACAGGGCCAGAAGGGAGGCCACCAGGGCCCGAGGACTGGTCCACAGCAAGGCCAGAAGACCGGCCCACACCAAGGACAGAGGACAGGGCCACCGGCGATGAAGTTCAAACAAGAAACCACAAACAACGAAGCAGCAGAATCAGAAGAGGGCGAGTCAAAGGTCTGTTTGATTTTCTGTCATTTATTTTTTGTGATATATATTTCTGCCGTGAATGACGTCGACAGTTACCGGTAGCTGACACTAGCCTATTCAGTCTTGCTAATAGTGCACTTGAATAAAACACTCCACAGCCCGAGCGGGCGGAGTTGTCTCGCTGTTACGTCCATTATTGTAACTGGAGCGGTTTACTGCAACTACATCGGCTATGGCGGTGAATAAAACCATGCACCCGTTAACGAAGTCGGTTTAGCGAGCAGCCATCTTGTCAAAAAAAAGCGAAAATTGCTTTGTTAACGCAGAAGGGCTGCTTCCTATGTCGTATTTGTTTTACTGTGATGTTTTTCTGTTAATCTGAACCTTTTTTAAGTGCCTTGTTTTGTCGCAAAATAGCTTAAGCAAATGTAGGTCATGTTTGTATCGCCTGTGGCACACAAAGCGGATGGGGGATGGGCAGCCGGACATATAAATAAGGATATGAAAGAACGCTGACTTTAACGTTAAAACACTACTTTTTAATGAAGTTTTTTTTTTATTCGCACATAATAATAGATTTTTCTACTGGGGCTGGGCAGTAAATTGAAATATTATCCTAACATCAGAATCGGAAACAGGTTTATTGCCAGGTATAGTTTACACAATACGAGGAATCTGTTCTGGTGGGTTGGTGTAATAAAACCAAGTGCAATAGCAAAATGGTTTGTCAAACACGACGGATCGATGTTAAATATGTCATGCTATTATAAAGGAAACAATGAGATACCATCAAGATGTTATCCAGACGTAAGGGAAGATGTTGATACAGCCTGCAAGATAAAATATCACATTACCATTGTTATATTTTTGAAGTGGAAACCAAAATGGCTAGTATAGCAGTATGTCAAAGATAATTAAGCTATCAATTAGTTTTTAATTTTTTTGTGGAATGTCCCAGCATCTACTCCTTGATACATTTTTCTGTGTTGTTTGGCGTGGCTATGAGGTTTGAGAGTTTGACTCTCGTTCCACAGGCTTTTAAGGCAACGCTGTCCATGCTGCTGAAGCCCGGTGAGAAGACATACACACAGCGGTGCCGTTTGTTCGTTGGTAACCTGCCGAACGACATCACAGAGGATGATTTCAGGAAGATATTTGCAAAATATGGAGAGCCCAGTGAGGTCTTTATCAACAAAAGCAAAGGCTTCGGGTTCATCAGACTGGTAAGAAAAGTCTCATATGCAGTGTCACTACTTTACACAAAGGGTTTTCTTGGATAAAGTTTTGCATTGACTTTATACGATACCAAGAGGCAGACTGAATTAATTATTTACTTTTCCTGCAGGAATCCAGAGCACTCGCAGAGATAGCAAAAGCAGAGCTGGATGACACACCGATGAAAGGCAGACCCTTGCGTGTTCGATTTGCTTCACATTCTGCAGCATTGTCTGTGAAGAATTTGTCACCATTTGTGTCTAATGAGCTCCTAGAAGAAGCTTTCTCACAGTTTGGAATGGTTGAGAGAGCGGTCGTCGTCGTAGATGACCGTGGGCGCTCCACAGGCAGGGGCATTGTCGAGTTCGCCTCCAGGCCTGCAGCCAGAAAGGCTCTGGATAGGTGCAGTGAGGGTGTCTTTCTGCTCACCACGTAAGTTTCTTTGTTTCATTGTATACAGACAAGTCTGTAAAAGATGCTTGAAACATTTTCTCATTAGTGTTCTTGCTTTTTTTCACCTTTTTCAGGTCACCTCGGCCTGTTATTGTGGAGCCTCTGGAACAGTATGACAATGAAGACGGTCTTCCAGAGAAATTGGCACAGAAGAACCCCAGATATCAAGCGTAAGCATGTCACTATATATCATGTTCACTCTGTGCATTTGCACCTATTGAGATAAACAGAGCAAGTTTAAATTTGCGCTAAGTCTAGGTGTATTTGTGACTGCTGCTTTACTAAACTTTTTTTTTTCTTTAGCTCATTGTTTTATGGGTAGCAGATGGTGTTTTTGGGAAGATGGGGGTAGGTTCAGGGATTGCAGCTGTTCAAAATCAATTTTTGTGTGGACTGGCAGATGTTAGTCAGTGTCAATAAAGGGACTGACAAGTAAGCAGGTTGTCTGCTGGCTGTGATGAGGACAAATACCAATATTGGCCATTGTAGAAGCTGACAAAATGCTGAAATGGTAATGAATAAAAGAAAAGATATTACTATAATAAAACAAGCTTTGTATAACTAATCAACTGGATTTGCTCCCAGTCTGCGATCAAACATTTAGCAATTATGAATTCATAATTTTCTTAATTTGTTATGAAATAGCTTCAGTATGTTTAACACCACACGTGTATGGTGCAGATACATTTATGTCAATCTAACATGCTGTCTAATGTGTTGGTTGTGTTTATAGAGAGCGTGAGGAGCCTCCTCGTTTTGCACGTCCTGGCACTTTTGAATTTGAGTACTCCAAGCGCTGGAAGTCCCTGGATGAAATGGAGAAGCAGCAGAGGCAGCAGGTGGAGAAGAACATGCGTGAAGCTCGTGAGAAACTGGAGAGTGAGATGGAGGACGCTTACCACGAGCACCAGGCCAATCTGCTGCGGCAAGGTGAGTTTAGAAATGAACCAGCGGTAGTTTTTGAAACTTTGATATTTGTCAACAGCAAATATGTGACACTCCTGAGATGGGAGGTACCACAATTAAATGTGTCTGATTCTTGTTTTCTTGCAGATCTACTGAGGCGACAGGAGGAACTGAGGCGCATGGAGGAACTGCACAGTCAGGAGATGCAGAAGAGGAAGGAGATGCAGCTCAGGTATTTAATTTACATTATTTAATGTGTGATGTTACTGTTATTTCTTTGTCCTTAAAGTTTAAGCATTGCTTGTATTTTGTCAATAGTAGAGTATACAGTTAGATTAGCTATGTTCATATTGATTCCTAAACTTGAATTACATGCGGCTAAATCTTTTCTGTTCTTAAACAGACAAGAGGAAGAGCGACGGAGACGGGAGGAGGAGTTGCTTCGTAAGAGAGAGATGGAAGAACAGATGCGCCGCCAGCGTGAGGAGAACTACAGGATGGGCAACTTCATGGATGTAAGTTAATCTTAATATTTGGATTTTAAAAAGCATCCATTTAGTAAAGGAAATATTTGCTTGGTTAATTTAATAATTTCATGTCTTTTTATTGCAGAGGGACAGGGAGATGAGAATGCATTCCGGTGGAGCTTTGGGCATGAGTGGTAAATGAACAATTTTTCATGTCATTTTGGTTACAACATTATGAGACTCAGACTACATGCAGTGCTGTTGTGTAAGTCTGCATTAGTTTATGTCCAAAAACTCCAGTTTCACTGTGACTTTTCTGGCTATTAATTAATTTAATAAGTCAGTACCAAATTGGCCATATTCATCATTTAGTCAGTTACTTAAGTGGTGACAGTAATCTTGAGTGGTGCATATTTAGTTCCTTCACAGTCTTCACTACATTTATTAAATGAGTCTGGTCAGACATGGACACAGACTGCAACTTTAGAAACACAAGGGGATAGTTGTAGTTGTCAAGCTAATGTGATTCCATTTGAGATGATACAGTTTGTCTAAATGTAATGAAACTTGTGTAATTATATTGAATCAGCTTTGCTATCAACAGGCTGCACTATCAGTTTGTCTGATACGTTTATTTCAAATACAGCACGTTTACTTGACTTGTCATTCTGTGTCTGTTAGATTTGCCCTTTGGTGGATCCAACCAGAAGTTCCCAATGGGTGGTCTGGGCTTTGAGGGTCAGCAAGGAATGGGACCATCTTCAGGAGGCTTGCTGGGCAACGAAATGGTAACGTATCCCACTTCTGGGAAGATCAGTAGTTAATGTAGTTTTGTGTTGGACTTTCCTTTTGGTCTGAAAGACTCCCAGCTGATTTCAGACATGATGGCCAGCTGGCCATTCAGGGTGGGAAGATATGAGCAGTTTGTGTTCTAAGCTGTCTTCAGACAGCTTGCTGGTTGTTGAATGTGACAGATATGCCACCTAACTGATAGGGTTTCTTTCAATAGTAGGCCGAGCCCCCTCAGTTACTTTCATTTGAGCCTTACTGCTGTCCAGATACAAAACCATCAACCTGCACTAAATCATCAGAAATGGCTCTGCAGTGTGTTTCTGACAGCTGTACACAAACCTCAGTGGCTCTGCTCACTCTTATCATGCTGTTTGTGTAGTGGACTGCTATTGCAAGCCCTGTCTCTCGTGAGCTGGACAGGCACTTTTTCTTGACTGAAGGCAGAATGGCATGTACCAGTGTTTTTCTATTTAGCAGCTGATAATACTCTTATCTAGTTTCAAATCACTTTTTTATATACTGTGCCAGCACGTTCATGCGTCATCTGTTTATGAGAAGAAATGAAGTTGTATATGAAGAGTCTACGAGTATTTTTGGTGGAAGTGTGAAATCTGGTGGAAGCTCCTTGTGTACCATGAGCCAGTTTGAGACCTGAGGTAGAGCTGTACCTGATCTTATGGACCAGCAACCTTTACCTTCTGATAAATAACTTTTTTGAAACTGTGCATTTATAATGCATTTAGTGCAGGATGATGGTGTAAAGCATTAAAATTGAACATAATTGTACATTGCAAGAGGATTAATTGATGGGGGCAGGCACAGCATTCCTATTATGTGTGTAGGGTGATGCTGGTGAGTACTGAACCAAGCCAAAGATCGCTGCCTCTGGCACAATTGTAGTAACGATGTCAGGTTTGTTTCTGGATTATTGCTGACAAGAGCGGCTAAATGTGTGATAGCGTCACAAATCCTGATTGACAAGTGTCAACTTATTACACTAGGCTTGTATTTGACAAATGGTGCACGATACATTTGCAGCTGTGTCTGCATATTCTAGTATTAGCTTAGCTAATTCTTTATTCTTGCTTTGAACAGAATGCACCATATACACAACAAAGGAACTTTAGACAAGAGAATTCGAAAGAGTTTTAAGTTTAAGCTTTAGGGCCCACCTGATACATTGGTTGGCCAATATTGGCCTGTCACAAACATCAGTATGTATATGTATGACGTCACATATCACATGTATATGTTGTCCGTTATGCAGTGGCAATTCTTTATACCAAACATATAGAAAAGATGCTTGCAGTAATTTACAAATAGTGTCATTGCATAGTTTGTCCAGCAAAGTGGCTCCAACTCCTTTGCTTGCAATACTGCAGCACATGTAGCAGAGTCAGCTTACAGCTAAGTGGACAATGGTGCTGAGTCAGCCGATGTCTTCATGTTATATTGCTAACTAGTTTGTGAAATACATTGTTCAAAAGTTAACAAACAATGACTTTATCAATACTAATTAACCGTAATATTGTCACGTTATGCAGGAAATTTTACTTCACAAAAAATCTACCGTAGTATTGGCCAGGCTCTATTAGGCTTGTTGGCGATGTTCATGTTGGTGGCGCAACAGTTTGACAATCTGAAGTGTGAATCTTCAGTCGCAGTTTTTATTTCACCTCTGAATTTGAAGCTCAGTAAAACTCTGATTATTCAGTAGGCTGAGCAGCATTATGTTAAGTACATACCCAATGTACTCCTATTTGACATTTTCAATACTTTGCATTCTGTTTTCTCTTCTTACTTTTGTTGTTCTATTGTAGCCAGGTTTTGGAAATCAAAGCATTTGTTTTTGACTTTGAGACACTGACTGTCTCACTGTTATAGTTTTATAGACATATCTGAATTAGAATTTAAAGTGCATATCGAAAAACAAACTGCTTTCTTGTTGGAAAAATGGTTGAATTGATTGTCTTGTGCAATTATTACGTTTTCTCTGTCCCAAGTATTCTCCACGTGTATTACTACTACAGCCCCTATATTTCTTCAATCCTGGTTAACATTGGGATCAGCAGTTATGTTTTCCCATTTTATTGATGCAGTGCCATAAGATGCTTTGTGGTATCTTACACCATTGTTTCAGTTTAGGAAACTTTGGAAGTACCTTATTTCACTCAGATTTAGTTTATTTTTTCTAAATTTCTATGAAAATATGATTTTTGGTTACAACTAATAGACTTTTAAACTTTACTACCAGATGTATTTAATAACACAACCTCCCTCCAGAGGGTTGAGCATGTAATTTCTGGCATATTTAATGATTATCCACAAGTAAATACAGTCCACATCTAATGATGCTTGGCTTGATAAGCAGTAAGACCTGCAGGCTGATCTTGGCATGCACTGGAGAAGAGATCATACTAGGTAGGCACTGACTAACGAAAGCATTACCCTCTCTTCCTTTTCCGTATGTAACCTGTGGCACCTGTGGACCTTCATATTGGAACGAACCGTTTCTTCGGATGTGTCTCCTGCTGGTTGTTGTGTAAATCTGCTCATAATATAAAACAAACCACCTCAATGCCATACCTTTTTACACACCTCCATATGGACATGAACTGTGTGCTTGCGCACTGATCCCATCCCATACCTTATCCTCCACCCTCCTATCTGCCTCCATGGCAAATTGACCCCTATAGCGCAATGAGCGCTTCGCCCAGGGCGGTCCTAGGGGAATGGGTCCTGGTAACGCTGGGTATGGCAGGGTCCGCGAGGAGTTCGATGGCCCTGCTAAGAAACCCCGTTTCTAAATGCTGCTCTTTGATGCTTCCAGCAGCACCATTTGTATAGATTCTCCAAAACGAACATGTTGAGTCGCATTTCTTGTATTTAAGTTTAAAATGTTGCAGCATTTTAGCCAGACAATTTACTCATTTTATGACAGTCAATATTTTCAATTTTTTATTTTATATTGTCTCTAGTGTGGAAAGAGGTCACCCTTGAGTGATCCAGTAGTTCTTTCTTACCATGTATAATTTTCTTTTCTAGTTGTGTTATGCTCTGTGAGTCGTCGTGAAGTGATAACTGTAACATTTTTCTCAACTTCCTATGGCTGTGTTTTGTGCCATACATTTGGAGTCAAAGCATGTATTATAATAAAGAGACATTGGTTCTATCCGGACAAACCTTTTAACATTCATTCCTAAAGTTGAAATGTGCGGTACTATCAAAAAGCAACCAAATCCCAACAATGGATTGTTTGCATAAATGAAATAGTATACATACATGTAGATGCCACATTAGGCTTTAAAGGGTCTATGTGTTGTCTCTGCCACAGTCCTGGCCTTTCAATTAGGCAACGCATACAACACCTGATACCACTATTGCATATACCTCTCTCCGTCCTTCGCTTCTTTGTTTTTCTCCCTGCAAATTCAGAGGACTGACACCTGTCAGTATTCTTAATAAGTATACTGTTAAGAGTTTTAGTCAACGGGAATTAAACAGCGGTGTGTAAACACTGAACAGCGCTGAGGCCTAATGATTGCAGGAGACTCAGTGGATTTCTTTTGCACAACTGAGCCATTTCAATTCACAATCACTGCTCAGACAAAATGAAGATCTTTTTTTTGGAACACTAAAACTTTCCATTGTTTTTCATATTAAAGTGGCTGCATCAGCTTTTTCAGCCATGCTTCAGGACAACAGAAATACTTCACATAGAACCTTTAAGACTGCCTGTGGTTCAGTTGGTGGTTGTGAGTAACCGAGCTGACAGACATTCTGCTCACATCACTCAGTCTGTCACAGAAGTGTGTGTTTGCATGCTTCAAGGATGGGTTATTCACTACGTTTACATGCAGTTCAGGATGTCTTACAAGAATCATTTGCAGCATTGACTTTTAAAAAAAAAAAAGCTGATCTGTTTTTGTAGACAAAGATGACATGAAAGCTGCATTTCCACTTTGTGTTGCCACTTTCTTGGGAGTTGAATTAAGTTCCACAGCTTCACCCTAGTTGACCTGAAACTTTTTCCTAATGTTTATTATATGTATTATAGTTCTAGTGTACACTTTTCAAACTGCTCAACAACCAACATGGCATGTATTGCTGCTGTTATCATGTGTTTATTTATAATATAATTAATTTCAACCCATAAGACCAGCAGGCAGAGTGCATTCAATGCATTGTTGCTAATTTAGTTTATCTGAAGATAACTCCAAGATTTTCTTTGGTTGGCTTCAGGCCTGATGTGTATTTTGCATCTGGCAACGTAATCACTGTATAAGACGGCCTAGAGGTAAAACTTGTGTGTATGTGTGTGTGCTGACCTTTCATTGACAAGTCTAATAGAAGTTGTGGGCATATTAGGCGCTCATGGCTCAATTCCCTTAAGTGGCAACAACAGCTAATTGATAGCCATTTACTGTCTCAGGTGAACAGACAAACTTCCACAAACCTGCATGTAAACGTAGTCATCATCAGTTACGGACTTATTTTGGGTGCAACAAAAATCTACTAAAGTTGGTGTGTATAAGTAAATCTATAGTAAAGGAACTGACACAAGATCTTATCTGAATTGAATGTCAGTACAGTAGTTTCACTGTTTGTTGGCATGGGTCTGCCTTTCCACGACTGGAAAAGGCCTCATGAAATGAAATGAAATGAAAAATACTTTATTTATCCCAGAAGGGAAATTCAATAATCATTTAGATTTATGTAAACATGCTGTTTGAAAGCATGATACCCAACAGAAACCAAAGCAGATATGCATCAGGTTTACTCTGGATGAAGACATCAAGCCTTTTGGATTACAAAAAAATAATAAATAAATAGTAACGGGTTACATCTTTAACCAGAACTCTGACTAATTCTGTTCATGTTGAATTTATTTACATGGCCAGTAATTTTTGAGTTAACAAACACTCAGCGCTGGATTTAGGAAATGGAAACAGGTCCTCAACTTGCACAAGTAGTGCTTAACTGTCATGGTCCTACAAGAGGAAAAGGACTCCAGAAACCTAATTTGTCAAGGCATGGGATGACCTGCAGTGAGATTCAGACATGTTCTTAGTGTCTGATGGTAGAAAGAAGGTCCATCAGCAGCCTTTCTAGTAAACTGTTAGTAGACTCATATCAGTGTCTTACAGCCACAGTATTGGGTTATCATCTTTTTTAAGTGGGTTGAAGTGCTTTTATTTTTCCCAGAATTGCCTTAGCCTTGTTTTTTGGGGTAACCTTTTACAAACACACCGTCCCACTCGGCCTTGTATCATTATTTGGGTTGCATTCAGCAGTGCCCATTGACTAGAACTTTTTTTTTTTTTGCTTTTCAGCAGACATGTTTGTCTGCAGCCTCCCTAACATCATATATAACAGTATTATAAGAACCAGCACACAATATCAGAATCCATTTAACAATTGGATAGCTTCTTATTCGCAGACGTTCTGAAGAGATATTTCAGGAGGAAGATGAAAGCAATTGAAGAGTAATAGTTGGGATAATTTACCTTGGGACATTGGAATTACACAAATTAATTTGGCACATTGATGTATTATGAAACCTATCACTCGTGCAACAGTGGTTGGATGTTACTGTACAGCAGATGGTTTCAACCCCTTTCTGTTAATGGCACATTATGAGTGAAGTTCCCATTTTTTAAATTCTCCTGCCTACTCTGATACAACCAGTACTTTGTTAGAAGTACAATAAATGGAAATCTCCATTTATTCACAAACTTGCCTCTGCAACCGTCTGTCAGTTGTGTGGAAAGAGGACACAGCTTGAAAAAGTGAGTGTAAGTAACGTTATAATAATTCTCATTTCATATAACTGTATTAACTTGGCTGAATTTTCTAGCATGAGTTTTAATCTGACTTTCTGTGGACTTTTGAAGGTGTTTATGTTACTTGTACTCAAAGAAATTATACAGCAGTACGACTTCCAGTACTTGTTTATAATGCTTGATTCTGAGTTTCATCTTAAAGGTCTTTTTCACAGTTTCAACATGAAGTAACTGGAGTCATTTGCTTTATACTCTCTGGTAAACTGTTAAAGTCTGTCTCATGGTTGACTTTGGACAGCATTTGAACCTCTAACTGGATGACTACAATGCTTCCCATTGTCTGTCTTTTTATTTGTTATTTAGCCAAGGTTTGACAAAACAATGCAGTGATGATGGAGTGACAAAACATTTAAAATACTTAATCACCTGTCGTGTACCTGCTAATGCATCCTGCACAATAACTAAACATATAAGCGTAAGAATGGTACACTTTTTGCTTAGTAAGAAAATATTCATGCGATATCTGACGGCGCTGCAGAACACACCTGAAATGGCTGCAAAACAGAGGACTGCGATGCTTGGATGAATTCGGTAATAGAATTGGATATCATGGAGTGTTCATCTCAAATGTTACGTGTGTTTGTGTTATGTACATTTTTTCTTTAACAGGTATGACCGGCTTTAAAGATTTTGGACTGTGGAGGAAGTTGTGGCTGTGTAGTGTGAACTCAGGAATGCATTAACGTAGAAACCCAAACACTGGACTTGTGGGGTCCATCTCAGTGAGACTCACAACATCATCAACATATTATTAAGCAAGGCTGGATAGTGGCTTGTAAATGGATATAGTATGGATCAGCAGTTGGGCTTTGCTTCCACCAGCCCTGTAACATTCCCCTTGCATTAGCATTTTTGGAAGACACAGGTAAATACCAATTCTTAATAGCAAGAACTAACTTTTAAAGTTCAGTAGATTGCAGAGAACATTTTCACATTATTTGTTGCTCTGCAAATACAAGTATTGTCTTGATATTGTGATTAGTTAGTATTTTGTGAAAGTGATTAGTAACAAGTTCAACCGATACTCTTCAGTCACTCATATGATAATTTCTCTGCTATCTTTTTTAGTGTCTTTAATTCAATTCGCCGTTATTTTTTTTGTCAATTTACAACACCCAAATGACCCAAATAGCTTTCCAGTAGAAATATAAAGTTAAGGTACATGAGTCATTGTACCTGAGTTGAGGAGTTCAACGTCTGTGTGTGTAGCCCACAATACCAAGTTGGTGTTTGATGATTCAATCAGACTTTCTGGATCAATATGGACATGTAATTTTAGTCTGGAACCATTCGTTCTCTTTTGGACTTTGCTGCTGTTGTTGTTGGATGGCATCCTGATACTAATGGAACGTGAAACAAGCTTCTTTTTTTTTTTTTCCCAGTTAGCCAAAGTTCAGCCGTACGTTATCCAAGATTTGATAGTTTTTAGATGGTTTCTCTGATGTAAGTTGCATGCTTATTTTCCAAATGACTACCTTTCATTGCAAAATAACAAATTTAAACAACTAAAAACTATTTCCAGGGTTTTAAAAAATGTTTGCTAAACTTAAAATTTTTTTTCTTGTGTTCTTTTTTTTCTTAGGTAGAAGTCTTTTTTTACCTGCTCAGGTTTCCCAGAGTAAAGTTAGGACAACAGCATAAACGTAGGTGCTCTTTAGTCAATAGTTTGTCAAGTGTCCGGACAGCAATGGACAGATGTTGGACGTCCTCAATAGAAAATAACCTCTGGAGGAGATATTGTCCAAAGACCAGTGGAAACACTGATAAAATCCAAAGCAAAAGTCAAATGAGCGCCAATATTCACGAGACTATAGGACACCTAAAATACGTCGAAAAATTGTGTCTATGGCGCTAATAAACACTTGTGTATATGAAGTTGATTTTATTGTATATAATATAATGTAATAATAATTATACTAGATGAACATAAAATATTTTATCTGAGGCTCTCAACATCCTTCAGAACTTTACTTGACCTAAATGTAAATTTTAATACTTGTAATGTTATGTCTGTGTGTTGGTGTTGTGTACACTTTGTTTTTCTTTGACAGGTGTTGGACTATGAAAAGGAACTTTCCAAACCAAGACATTCAGAGTCTGTAGCTTTTGTTGGAGCAGTTTTGTAATCAAAAAGCTATACTCTGGAGGACCAGATAGAAGGGGAAAAAACCAAACCAAGCCATTTTTGATCACGGTGGCTCTATCTCTTGGACTGTAGCTTGGAAAGCTGGAGGATATTTGGTCATTCGCAAGTAATCACAACTAAAGTAATGTAGCAGACTACATAGTCACTACAGTGAAATACAGAGATTCAGAACAACATGTTTTGAAAAGAGCTGTTTGTCGTCAACATTTGACGAAAGGTGGCACCAAGTATACTTGACAGACCGAGAAGAATTCAGTTACATAGGTATGAAAGAGATATTGTCTTTTGTTGACACATTTCAGTGGCATTATTGAAGCAAAAATGGAAGCTTTGATGCACATCTTTAAAGAAAAAATCTTTGTCAAGATTTGTTTAAAGGCGCCAAGCAGACCTAACAGACTTCTCAGTAACTAAGGACCGAGTTGTCCTCTATTGCAAACACATTTCTACATAAGAAACGCCCTTAGTAGGGATCGACCGATTAGCTAGGCTGATTATTTGGCATGCTTCCCAAGTAAATTCACTACTTCAGCTCTGATGCAGTTGGCTGTCTCTCTCTGCATTTATTCTGTGATCTGAAACAGTGTCTCGTCCACAGCTTTATCTGATGGGCTACATGTCTTGAGGCACAGGCAGTCACTGAAAGCCATTGTTTACACAGAGTGACCGATGAGAGCGTTAGCTGAGCAGCTGCTCCAGTGAATTGGCAGAGCTGTGTTTGGAAGGTGAGGTGGAAGATGTTGCTGAAGCTTTAATAAAAACCACAATCTTCTACACACATGCCTGCTTTTTCTGTTACATAGAAAATTCCCCAATAATTTAGTAGTTGGTGTTAACAAGTGGTGCAGCAAGAACTTATTTTGTTGACTGCTAGGCTACGGATATCACCAAGAGGTGTGCCATGCCTTTGTCCAATGGGTAACACTATGTAGAATGCGGCAGCATGTTTGTTAAAAGTAAGATTAACTTTAACAGTCTCTTCTGACAGATATGTCTCTCTAGCAGAGACACAACCTGTAAAAACTATGCAAGAAATACAGCCATTACCATAAGTCAGGGCGTTGGTTACTTTGATAGTGTTATTGATCCCAGTAAGTTGATCTTACTGTAGACATGAGAGCATTGTGACGTCACATGATGCATTAATCTCATCACTTCTGTTTCTGTTGTACGTATTCAATTACAGTAATCCTTATTAATGAAGAATCCCAGTTATGAATGACAAGCTCCCTGCTATCACACGCTGTTAATGTATAACATTTAATGTGTATCTGTTGTCCGCCTTTCTTGATCACCAGCAATTAATATCGGCCCTAAAAACACCATATCGGTCGATCCCTAGTTCTGAGTTGACATTTTTTATAGACAGCTCTGATTTAGCTTTGCAAACTGAAGCTTCGACACGGACTTATTTACTGATTTATCAGTGCCATCATGCACATCTGACATATTGTAAAATAATGCTACTGCTGAGATTTACAGCAATTACAAATGCATTCTCACTTTATGTTATTACACAAAAATTGAAATCAAATCTTTTACTCTGTCGTTTACATCTAGAATTTTTCTAATGGTGATGGAAAGTACACAACATGAATATATACTGAGTTCAGGAGGGGATATCCCTACTGCCTACTAGGGGTGTAACGGTACGTGTGTTTGTTCCAAATTGTTTGCTACGTCACATTTGCTTTACATTTGCCGGCTGCCCTTAGATTCAGTTATTGCTGTGTTTCCTATTTTTATACTCATTCTAAAGTATGCCATTGGAGAAGTTTGAAAGTGTCAAAAAAATGTAAACTTACCTAAATTCGCAAAAAAGTCTATGCGCTTGGTTGAAGTTATATTGTTTTGCTTTGTGTACATAATGCACATAACAGGAGATGGAAACGCTTTGTTACATCAGAGTGTATTTTAAAAAGCATTTAACTCAAATGACTGATCAGCTTTTGTTGTTTTTTTTATATACATATATTATGTGACATTTAGAAGGTTGTTTCAAATTGGCTCTACAGTTGTATGACAGCATTGCTGCTCTTTATGTTGATGTGTTCACACTACAAACATTCTGGAGCTCCAACATCCAAGACACTTTGCTGCACCAATTGTCCATCAGCAATAGTACATTGACAGGATTAGCCATGAAAGCTGAGCAGGTACTTTGCCTGTTTTGTTAAAGATGTGCTATTGTTTTGATCGTAAACAGGTCAGTATTTTGTGATTGGCAGCATGCAGCCTTCACAGTAAGAACTGTGGCCAATTAGGTGCTTTTGAATGTTTTACATTTTTGGGGGAAAAAAAAAATCAAAAGTTGAATTATGCATTTCTTTTGTTAACTTGCGGCTACATACTGACCCATGAACCTCGTGTACCGTTACACCCCTACTGCCTGCACGTTTTGACTTTGCAACAGTGACCTTCCTCAAGTTTCAAGTCCAGATTGTGAACCCACACACCTCACCACAACCTGTAGTTGTCTTTTATTGTCCCTGACTCTAAAAGCGAAATCTACACCAGTAGACCAGACCAACGTCCTATTCACCAACGTACCTGAGGCAGGAAGTCCCATGCACCTTACTGTTGAAGAGAGGATGGCGTGTTGTGCCCGTGTGGTTGTGCGTGTTTCATGTCTTTGAGTAAATGAGGTGCGTTAGCTGCTGTCAGCCAGCTTGTCAAAGACAGGCTGCCCCAGTCCACAGTAGAGGCTCTTCACTGCAGTTGGGTTACATTGACGATGAGTAGTTCTGCAGAAGTCAGTGGACAGTAAAGCCTGGACTTGTTTGCACTGCAGCCAGAGGTATGCTTACACAGATCAGCCGAACACGTAAGGTAAGTGTCCCATCCATGTTTATAATACAAGATGCACAGTTGTCCCATAACTTAACTCTTCTCTGTCCTCTTCCTCCCCGTCGCTGCTCACAGTGACGTATGCAGGGCTTCTGGCATCACACTTTCAAAGAATGGCATCACAGTGCAGATCTCTGTTCTTCAACCTTTTTTGTGTGTGGGTGGAAGCGCTGTAGCCGTGTGTGTGTGGTTGTAGTACTTTGGCCTCTCTGTATGTATGCATGAAAACGTGTGTGTATGGACGGCTGAGTCACTGGTTCAACATTAGTGTCCAAAGGCAGATGTGTGCTGAAAGTTCATATTTTCAAACAAACTGTTTTCAAGTGAAACTTTTTTTCTGTTTCTGCCCTTTTGGCATTGCTTGGCCCATTAAAACAAAATAAGAAATAAAGCTTTTTTTTAGAAAGAGCAAGTTTTGTACAACCGTGCAACATATTTCAGCTGCTTTTTCTTTGTTTCTGTCCTGAATTTACATTTATTTTGCTGGAAACTCGTATTTTAAAGCGGATTAGTTGTGGAAACAGGCAGGTTGTGTGCAGCAATGAACAGAAACCAAAATCACCAACCAAACTAATTTCTTACATTTTTTCCACCATGATGCTGTTAGAAAACTCTGTCATTCCCTTTTTTTATATATATCTGACTCTTTTATAGTGATGCGTCTGGTTAGAACAACATTTTTTTTTAAAATATTAGTTAATATTTAAATCGCACTGGAAGAACATTTGTCATTGACTTGTAGGGCTGTAATCGTTCAAAGAATATCTTGGTTAACTGAATTTGTACCGACTCAGTCAGTTGCTCAGTGGACCAACAGAGTCGGTATGATTTTTCCAGCTGAAGTTGATTATCCACAGTGCACTAAGTGCACTCTGACTGCTAGCTTTGTTAGCCTTTGTTAGCCTAAATTAATTGGTTAATTAAAAAAAACGATAAATATTAATGAGCAGAGAGAAAACGTGATGCATATTAAATCATCTTCATTTATTTTATCCTAAAATGATAAGAACAGCAGACCAGCGTCCACCTGCACTTATTTATTTAATTTCTAAAAATATATCAACTGCTTATCGCAGCACAGGAACTGCTGAGGACTGTATATTATCTGCTGTTATCAAATGATCTGCAGTGTTGGTTAGTGAGCTACGATAAACAAACTGACGTTTACAAACTCAACTTTTTGGCCATCTGTTTAAACTTTGACATTGTGTCGATTCATTTGGAGCCAGCTTCAAGTAAACATTCAGTAAATGTTCAAAAGGTGAGATTTAACAGGTTCCACTAGTTTGAACCAGTTTGAAGTTCTGAAAATGTGGGAGGTCTGTTTCTCCCAAAAATAATGGATTATTTGTGGAAGACTGTTGATGTAGTGCTTTTTTTCTTATGAAAGTAACACCATCAATTGTCTGACCAATGAGAAGTCGGTTGGGTGAAAGCATATCGACCAACCAGCAGACTGCAGCCCTACAGTTGAGTTCTTGTCTCAAGTTTACTTCTGACCTGCTCCGTCTCTGACTGTCAAACCTGTCCGTAAACATGAGCTGTGGTGGTACTGGGTGGGATGTATGCAGTGTTGAAATGTCCTGTAGTGCTTGGGTCACTCTGGGTGGGATGTAGAAAATCAAAGAAATAAAACATGCCTGTATTAATGCAGCGCTGACTGCAGACCTCTGAGCTGCTCCGACACTCTCAATACAACCTTCACAGCCTCTGTGACTTTGTGTGTTTGTGGATGCAGTTTGTTGTGAGTTTTTGTTTCTTTCTCTTGACAAAGAGAACATTTCAGTTCAAACAGATTTTCTTCCTCAGTCTTTGTTCAGCAGATTTCTTCACTGTTAGCACAATCTCTATCTTTTAAAGAAAGAAATATCAGCTCTGGATTTACCTCCACTGATGGTGCGACCTGACTATTACACCTGTACAGTTTGTAACAGAAACCTCGTGTGGGGAGAAAAACAGCTCTAGAGCACATACAGAGCACTTTGAAATGGATCCTGTATTAAATACAGTTTCTCCTGTGCTGCTTCATGATGTGGAGCTCTTAGGCTGTAATTTATGAGAAGCTTGTGATAAGTCTTGTGATTTACATCAAGTCTTTTTCAGCAGAACAAACATCAAACTAATGGTTGTTGAGCAGTCCGTGGTTTGCTGCAGGGAAAAGGAGCGACGTACGTGATGATTATTGAAAATAATCATTTTCGACAGTGCTCAAGTGAAAATACACCAACGTGTCAGTAACTGTTCTACAGCCCTCCGTGCTTCAGCTGCAAATGGTACTTGCTTTCCTTTCTCTCCTCTCAGTACCTCTTAATTCTCATTTTGTGTCTCTTCTGTTACATTTGAATGCCGAGTCATACCAGTGACCAGCCAGCCATTTTAAAAAGTACACTACACCACGTCTTTGACGTGTTGCTTGTACGTAGGAGTTGTCTCGTAACTGTGAAGATCCATGGTGTGACCTGAAGTCTATGGTTCTCTAAACCTCTGATGATCAGGAGGAGACGACGCTGAGGTCAGCCTCTGGAGGCTGTGATGTATCCGTCTGCACTGTGATCCATTTTGAAACCAAGTCCTCAGTCCTGATTGGCCAACATCTTTTCTCTCTACTGTTTGAGTGTGATGCCAGAATGTCCCTTTTGGCCTTATCGGCCTCGTCTAAAGTCTGACAGACTGACACTGAAAATGACCACAAGACCAAGTCTGTGCTCGGTGGTGCAGCTCCGTTTGGGGTCGTCCTGCAGTAAAACCCCTGATGTGTCAGTATGACGTCAAGCTTCACGAGGCTTTGTAACTGAATCCTACCTGCTGAGGATCACAACGGATCTGAACGTTGTTGTCACGAATTTGTCTCGTTCCCTCTGCAGTCTCTAAAACATGAACTTCAGGGTGCTGAGATGCCGTTCAGTAACACACAGTTCATACTACATATCTACACTTGTCCTCACACTGACACACACCACATACTTGTATTGCATGTTCACACTGTAACATCATAACCTTTTTTTTTTTTTTCTTCTTGTGAATACCCACAGTCATTGCCCACACAGACATATCAGTACAATATGCACATACACACACAGGCACAGGCTGTTTGTCTTTATAAACGTGGAAAATAAGTAATAACATTTATTATTTAAATAAAGCTGCTGACCAGTCCACTGCCAGACTCTCATTGTTTGTTTCTCGCCACAGGAGCCTCGACCAATCGAAGGAGGCTGAAAGTCCAAACCGATGAACCAAGGTAAGAAGTGCAGTAGTTGGTTAAATAACTCGTGTTTACATGAATGTGGGATGTCCCGAGCCCAATCCTGACATCGGGATCTGGGCGAGTTGTGGCTGTTTTCATTTGAACCACTATCAGAAGGAAGGGAAGCCCCGCAGGCACAGGAAAGGAACCACAGAGACGCCTGCTTCATATGCCTCTGAGCTGTAGGAGTGTTGTCCTCGTTTGTCCCAGTTAGGTTTAACATTTGTGTTCTGGTCGGAGGTCATTAAGCCTCAGAGACGACCTTGCCACGGTGCCTCCTTTCTCGATAAACTCCCACAATGCTCTCTGTTTGAAAACAGACCACCTGCCTCCTCTGGTCGATTATTATGTCATTATTAAAGCAGGAGGCTCTAATTGGTGGCACAACCAGCTACTGTGTAGTACTTGTGTGCAATATTGTGATCTGGGGTTTATAATAATAATGTAATAAGATGTCTCCCTCAGGCTGATAAATTGAATATTTTCTTATTAATTGAATAGTTGACAACTAATTGATTAATCGTTAGTAACTAATTCATACTGAAGCTTGTTGACAGCTGTTGAAAAAGACAGTTCCTCGTCTCCTCAGGTTGTCTAACACTGAGGCTGTATTGAAATCCTGTTTCGTTGTTCGCTCCTGTTTTGCAGATAAAATGAAGACTGATGTCTGATAAAGTTCCAGAGCGTCAGGAGACTCAGCGACTGATGTCGCCATGACGCCGCCGCCATGTGAGTCCACCTGCATTTTGTCATTCAGACATTAATGTAAAATGTTTGTGTGCCTTAAAAGTAGCTTTGAACATTGATGTGTGAAGACGTGTCGACATGTTTCAGTGTGAAGTCTGTCCTGAATGTGGGTTTGTGTTTGTCTCAGGTGCTGGTGAAGCAGCTGCAGTGTCAGGACACGTCCAGCAGAGGACAACAGGCTGCATCCAGAGGAGGGACGCACTGTTTCTCTGCTCTGACCTTTAAGAATAAATGATACAAACCTGAGTTTTATTGTTTGTGGTTATTGTGGTGCTGATGCTCCATCGTTTATGCAGGAGTTTAAAGCTGACGCTACAGCAGGTAGACTGTGAGGAGCCTCCAACATCAGACCGGTTGTTCTTCACGCAGTGATGCTTTCTTTACACAGTTTGTTCCCGTCGGCCTCTGAGCAGCTGATAAACCTGCACCCGCCCACTGACTCCCCTCAGTGCTTCTCCTCCGAGGCTCCCTGAGGCCAGTCCAGTTACAATTAAAGCTAAAGGTGCAGCGTTTCCGCCGCAGCATCACACTTGCATCCTGAGTGTTGGCTGTCAACCCTGGAGGAGGTCCAGCCGAGAGGCGGCAAGACGATCCGGAGGAGCTGAAGGCACGAGTCGAATGTGGGTCGTGCTCGTGTTGTCTGACCTGAGCTGCACTCTGGCACTGAAACCCTCCAAACCGGCGGTTAGTGGCCTGATATGCAGGAGGGGTCACCAAGGGGTCAGATCAGTATGAAAATGACTAAAAAGAAAACTCGCTGCCACCAAAACACCAGATCAGAGATTATCTCCTGGAGATCAAACAAACTTTATTTCTAGCACTTTATCACCAAACGTTCCTTAAAAACAACTTTATTACAACAGTAATCAATATTAAAAGACAAATGTTTTAGTCTCTGTTGACATAACTTGCAACTTCTTTTTTTACTGGTTTAAGACCCTAGCTCTTGTTTGATATGCATTTTTTAATGTCTCTTTGCTATTTGATCTGATCAAAGAGACATAAAAAATATAAAGAAAATGTTTAAAAGTATTTATAAAACAATAATAAAATACTGAAAATAAAATATATGTATGTAAAAAAAAGAAAAAAAACTACTGTGGTAATATAACCCATAATGCGATGTCCATATAGGTGGATATATATATTAAGAATTAAAAAGCTGTCAGTAATTTTAAAGCCAATTTAAAATGACAGATAATAACTAATAAAATCACTACAGTCTTAATTAACATAACTGAAACAATAACAATAATAATGGTTACATCAAAAATCTGTATTCTTACATATAATTCTTCACACAGTTTTACTGTCGTTAAACCAGTTACAAATATTATTTTGTTGTTTTTGACATTTGAAAGTTTAAAAAAAATATCTATGTAAAGGATTTAAAATGTGTAAAGAATTTTACAGCTAATTTAAAATTACAGATAATAACGAGTAACATCACAAAAAAAATCTTAATTTACACGTTGACCTTGAAAAAAATCCCCAAATCTGTATTTTTGTAAATAGTACTGTCATTTTTAATTTTTCTTGCACCTTTGCTGCCATTTTTTTTTTTTTTTTTGTATAACTAATTTTATTACATTATGGATATTTTGAAACAGAATTGAACAGACTTTTCAGACCGCAGTGCGGGTTTGTTCGTGGACCCTCAGGCAGCAGCTGTTCTCTGCTGTAAGCCGACCTGGGCAGGACGAGGCGTCCACCTGACCAGCTGCAGCCATCCATCATTCATGGACATGCATCATTGATGGCGTCCGCTGCCCACAGGTGGAGCTACGGTCCTCCTCATCCGCCCCCCGCAGCCTGCAGGCGGCTTCCCGTCTTCATATCTGCGTCCTCCCGTCATGCTGTCGGCCTGTCGGTGTGCAGCAGCACCAGTCGGCCTCCGGTTCGAGCCTGTCTCGGGTGTTTCCTCCTGGAGATAAATGAGTGGCACCGCCGGAGCCGCTCCCCCCACAGCCGTCCTGGGCCTGGGCCTGGACGTGGGTGGAGCGTGGCACCAGAGGAGCAGAGCTCTGGTCCAGACCTACCTGCTGAGCGGCTCCGTACGGCCTCCCCCCCCGACAGCAGCAGCAGGCGGCCGGTCGGACCGGACCCCCCTCAGGCTGCCGTCGCTCGTATCTGCGGCCAAAGGACCCCGAAGGAGGAGCAGCATGGCTCGGCTCAGGTCAGCGCGCCCACAGGGAGCCCCGTGGAGGGTTGATGGTTGTGGTGGTGAATGACTGTCAGGGCTGGTTCATGTCAGAGCAACATCTTGGTTTTTACTTCACAGATACTGAACATTGAATGCATCATATCTTATGTAGTATTAAACTGTCATTACATTTTAGTGCAAGACAGCAAAACATGAAGTGTACAACAAAAAGATATTTTTAAACTTTATAAACATATAAAAGCTGTGAAGTGCAGCACCAGGAGAGGCAGGTGGTGTTGAGGAACGGATGTATGTCAGTGTTTAAACTGCAGACTCAGCAGTAACTGCAGCCGCCCTATAAATGATCTGTACAAGGCTTTGTAAGGCTCTGTAGGGTCGGTCTGGCTGAATACCATCACAGGACTGTAAAAATGTAGTGTATAGACGTATAAAGTTGCATAAAACAGTCATATAAATGAGTAGAAAGTGTACCAAAGCAGAGGTTCATGTGTGGATGGAATGAATTTGGTTCATCTGAAATAATCTTTCTGCTTTTCTTCTCCACATATGAACTCAAAGCATTTTTTGACTGTTGGTTGGACAAACTTAAAACAGCTTCAGGTTGAATTTTTAACTTTAGCTTTTTGTTTTGGACAAAACATTTAATTGTGAAGGCAACTGGCAGAATAACTAAATAAATGATTAGTTGCAGCTCTATCGTTTTGCACTCCTTTCTTGTGTGTCGTGATGAAGGTTAATTTAAGGTTATGATGCCGCACTAGTATGAATTATTTAGAGTTGGACTCTTATGGTATCAGGTCATCACGCCACAATTATGTCAAAAGAAAACCCGACATTGATATTATTTTAAAATCAAATTTAACTTTAATTACTGCGCGTTACGCGTCTGTTTTGGCAAATGAGTCAAAAAAACACTATTTAATTCTGACCTTTGTGTGTTCCTTCAGCTCACAGCGGCTGCAGATCATTTCTTGATTTCTAAATAAAATCATATTTAGGTGTCAAGTATGATCTTAAATGTGATGTTTGAGTGCTACTAGGTTTTTATCAGACTGAGTTTTTAAATTTCTGACGCGAGCTTGGTTTTCCCAACACGTCCTCACATTATTGTGTATTTATTTTCTGTCCAAGGACACAAAGACAGAAGATTTTCTGTATTTCTTGCTCCTGTCATGTTTTTACTCACTGTGGCCTTATTGTTCACGACAATATAAAGTCCTGCACCGTTTTGGAAACAGAACAAGCAGGACTAGAAGCAGAGGAAATGCGTTCTGTGGACTGTGACACAATAACAAAGGCAGAAATGATTAAACAAGAACTAAGAATGAAAGTACAATTTCTTTATATTGCAAAAAAAAAAAAAAAAAAAAGGAATCAACAGGTTCAACAACCTTCAGCTGTCCACAGTTGTTAAAACTTGAGGATAAAAGCACATGCTGGTTCTACATACTGTAGATATTCTAGCTTGCTGCTGTCCTCTGCTCTGCTCTGTGTGAACACTGCCTGCAGTTCAGCTGAGATGATCCCTGTATGTTTGTCATGTGACTGTCGCTCACAGCTGAGTCACTAAAAGCTTCCTGGTTATGCTGAGGAGTGCAGAATATTTGTATTTTTTTTTACAGAATGTATTTACTGGACGCATATTTCTTCCACATTTTTAATTGAGGCATGTGGAATGAAGCAGTTTTAATGAAACAGAACAATGTGGGTACGTTTTCTGATGGAACACATGAGCAGTTCAAAGGCGCTGATGATTCTTTACAGTTCCTGGCTCTGATAAATTGCTGATTTACTGCAAAACACAACAGGCATTTCGAACCCTGCAGCAAATTCTGTGTTCAGCAAATGTGTTTTTATTGATTTTATACTTCTAACACATAAAACATTTAACACATTGCGAAGAACTAACTAACAATACGACATCAAACCTTCCCCTGAAGTGAACATAAGGCTGTCTGGGAAACACTAACAGTGAATCTAACGCTTGGAAGAAAGTTGACATCAAGTCATAAAGGTAGTAAGTTAGTTAGTTAGTTAGTTAGTTGGTTAGTTAGTTGCCCTGGTGTACATGTAGTACATGTTTCTCTGTATTACGAAATGGTTTCTTTGCTCTCCACCACAAATGCCAAACAATATAAATCTAAATACAAAATAGATTTTAAAGAAAAAAGAAAAAATAGAAAAAACAAATCAAAAATGTACATATAAGATAAAAGATAAATGAAGGTAATGGACTCTACAAAGTAAGGAGTAACAACATGAGCTCTGTGTCCAATAACAACTACAGACAGTTCTGAGGTAGTCCATGATTTCAGGCTCCTGTTTTGGATCCCGGTAGCTGTGAGACACAAAAGCTTCTTCAGTCGTGCATTTCACAGTTGTGCTCCTCCAGCCTGAAGGTAGAGCTGCTCTCTGCTTCACGGTAGCACATGATGGCATGCGATCAGGTTTGTGGTTTGAAATGGAAAAACAATCTGAAATGTGAACAGATGATCCCAGAAAGGACCGATTTCTTCATCCAATTATGCTGCTTAGTCTTTAACAAGTAACATTTATTATCAAGCAGCTCCACATACTGACTGATGTGCATCCTGTCAGTTCTAACAATAACCTGAATGTTAGATATAAGATAGTGTTTCACCACTCACATTATTCTGGTACTTTGTGTGTATTAAATGTCTGGTTTCTAAACATGAGAACAAAGCCCATCAGATAAAGGGCCGCAGGATGTCCTGCTGACTCAGCGGCCTACAATGCCCATCACGCATGTGCGTCAGAGCGGCTCTGGAGGTGATTAATCCGCCGTCCGTCATCTCTCCCACCTCCACCGTCGCCGCTATTCATTTCAGCAAAAGTGCCTGTCAAAGCTTGAACGCTTGACTGGAATTACAGTGTAACCGTTTCCTCCTGGTGTGTCCCAGTTTGACGGCTCAATGTAGGCCACTTCTGAGCCCCGAAGGCCGAGGAACAGTGTGTCATAAATCTCAGGTGTGGAAACTGATCTGATCTGATGCAGCACCCAGCGGTGCGACGCCGGCTTCGCTCAGAGGAGGCGGAAACCTGAGCGACGAGCACACACGTC